CTCTTTCAGATCTGGTTTCCTCAGTGTGTATGCCCAGAAGTGGGATTGCTGGGTCATATGGCAGTTCTATTTCCAGTTTTTTAAGAAATCTCCACACTGTTTTCCATAGCGGCTATACGAGTTTGCATTCCCACCAACAGTGTAAAGAGGGTTCCCTTTTCTCCACACCCTCTCTAGCATTTATTGCTTGTAGACTTTTGGATAGCAGCCATCCTGACTGGCGTGTAATGGTACCTCATTGTGGTTTTGATTTGCATTTCTCTGATAATGAGTGATGTTGAGCATCTTTTCATGTGTTTTTTAGCCATCTGTATGTCTTCCTTGGAGAAATGTCTGTTTAGTTCTTTGGCCCATTTTTTGATTGGGTCATTTATTTTTCTGGAGTTGAGCTGGAGGAGTTGCTTGTATATTTTTGAGATTAATCCTTTGTCTGTTGCTTCATTTGCTATTATTTTCTCCCAATCTGAGGGCTGTCTTTTCACCTTGCTTATAGTTTCCTTTATCTTGGTGTGTCTTAAACACTGACTTGTGTCTTCCAAAGTCTTTGAGGCTTCCAAAACTCTGCTCAGTGCTGCCTACAAATCAGTAAATGCCTTAAAGGGAAAAGAAGAGGTGAATGTCAAGTTCATGTTCTCTGTTGATCATCCTTCATCAAGCTGTTGCTGTGTTGATAGGTCTCCAATGCTATCAAGGAGGTTTGTAAATATATATTTCAATCAGCTTTTATACTTGTTTCATGTGAGCAGGGAGAGCTGTGCTTATAATGGCTGGCCTATATCATAGTTAGAGAAGAGTGGCAAAGTTCATACACTTAATCACTACTGTATGTAGCTTTGTAAACAGAAAATTCAAGATAAGACTCACTTGTCCAAGAATTTATGAATTACTTTGGAGAAAAACTCATAGAACTCTTTTCTAAAAGAATATTATAATGTGTTTATGTACTAAACTAAGTTAAAAGGATCTAGAAACTCTTTGAGGCTGTGGACTGTGCTGAATTGCTTTTTATGTCTTCAGTAAATGCTTAGTAAATTTGTTGAGGTGAATGGGCATAAAAACACATATTCTAGGAGTTTGGGATAGAATAAAAGGTGTGTCAGCTGCTTTATGCAGGCAGCATCAGTCATAATGGATTTCTTGTTAGATGTATAATATTTGGTAGGTCGAGGGGGAAAGAAACTAAGTTAAGTTCAAGGAGAATACATATGCCAAGTCTGAAGATGAAGCTGGCAGGCTTAGGAGACAATGAGGTCACCAGTCTATCTGTAACAAAGGATTTGTTTTAGGGGGTAAGTACTGGATGTACAGAGTGGATGCATGTGATGAGAAATGTGGGAATACCACATTGTGGGATGTTGATTTTCTTCTATGGGCAAAAGTCTTTTCATAATATTTCCATGCAATGTTAATAGAAGCTAAGCCAGACCAAGAAATAAAGAAGACGTTGAGGTTTGGAAAACATTGATTTAAACAGATTTGTTTACTGCAAGATTTCTTTGAAACTTTAAAGTGTGCATGGTGAATTCCTAAACTCAACAAATTTTTGTTTATAAAGGAACAGTGCTTCTGGGAACATGTTTTGGGAAATTGGGATATGTGGGCATTGAGGAAATACTTGCTGGAATATGACACTAGCATGAAAGGCTTGTGAAAGCTTGAGCTTTTATGGTATTGTTCACAGATTTCCCCCAAGAACAGTCTTTTTTCACTTTATATTAATTGAGTGAATTAATGGTTTTAGTGGATAAAGGAAGAATGAGATCAGAGTGAAGTCAGGTTTTTACCAAAATTAATCTGATAGAGTTGGACTATAAAGAAAGTGGAGTGCCAAAGAATTGACACTTTTGAACTGTGGTGTTGGAGAAGACTCTTGAGAGTCCCTTGGACTGCAAGGAGATCCAACCAGTCCATCCTAAAGGAAATCAGTCCTGACTATTTGTTGGAAGGACTGATGCTGAAGCTGAAACTCCAATCCCTTGGCCACTTGATTTGAAGAACTGAGTCATTGGAAAAGACCTTGATGCTGGGAAAGATTAAGGGCGGGAGAAGGGGACGACAGAGGATGAGATGGTTGGTTGGCATCACTGACTCAATGGACATGAGTTTGGGTAAACTCCGGGAGTTGGTGATGGACAGGGAGGCCTGGCATGCTGCAGTCCATGGGGTTGCAAAGAGTTGGACATGACTGAGCGACTGAACTGACTGAACTGAATCTGACAATGTGTGTCAGGATGTGTGTGTGTGTGTGTGTGTGTGTGTGTGTGTGTGTGTGTGTTTACCAGTTTTTTACCAAAATTAATCTGATAGTGTGGTATAGGATGGACTACAGGGGTAAGTAATTACCACTTACAGGGGTAAGTAATTACCATGAAATTAAAAGACACTTGCTCCTTGGAAGAAAAGCTATGACCAACCTAGACAGCATATTAAAAAGCAGAGACATTACTTTGCTGACAAAGTTCTGTCTAGTCAAAGCTATGGTTTTTCTAGTAGTCATGTATGGATGTGAAAGTCAGACCATAAAGAAAGCTGAGTGCCAAAAAATTGATGCTTTTGAACTGTGGTGTTGGAGAAGACTCTTGAGAGTCCCTTGGATGGCAAGGATATCAAATCAGTCCATCCTAAAGGAAATCAGTCCTGAGTATTCATTGGAAGGACTGATGCTGAAGCCTAAACTCCAATCCTTTGGCCACCTGATGCGAGGAGCTGAGTCATTGGAAAAGACCTTGATGCTGGGAAAGATTGAAGGCAGGAGGAGAAGCGGATGACAGAGGACTTATGGTTGAATGACATCACTGACTCGATGGACATGAGTTTGATTAAGCTCTGGGAGTTGGTGATGGACAGGGAGGCCTGGTGTGCTGCAGTCCATGGGGTCTCAAAGAGTCAGACAGGACTGAGTAACGGAACTGACTGACATGGGTAAGAGATTAGATGCTGAAAAACCAAAAGGAAGCTGTTAAAATTATCCAGACCTAAGAACCTTTTTCTTGGATGTGGTGACATCCTTGGAAGTGGAAACTAGAATGGATAACAGTGATATTTTGTAAAGAGAACTTACAAGATTTGGTGATAGATTACATGAAAGAGGAAGGAAGTTTTCAAGGTACTCTGAGAGTCTGGATGCCTCTGAGGCTGATGGAGTCACCATAGGGAAGAAGCAGTTTCTATACAGGACTGTTTTTCTCCTTCATGGAGCCTATGACTTGATGAAGAGGATCATAAAGTGCTAATTCCATGAACTTTCACTTTGGGTTGGAGAATCTTCTTTCTTTCTTTTGTTTTAAATTTGACTACACCATGAGGCATGTGAGGTCTTAGTTCCCCAACCAGGGATTGAATCCTGGGCCCTGGCAGTAAAAGTGCTGAATCCTAACCACTGGACTCCCAGAGAAATCCCTTGAGAACTTGCTGTGTAGAAAAGATCACAATTTTTACACAACAAAGCTAGGAATGGGAGAGAGTTTGAATGAAAAATACAGGAAAAAACTCTGATTAAAAAAAAAAACAACACTGTATTTGAGTGAATGCAAATATATTGTGTAAAGTTTCTGACTTAGCCCACAAGGCAACTTTTCTTCCAGCACATAATTCTAAGATAACTACCAATAAAATATGCTAATTAGAACATTTGAAATTTATGGTGACGATGATTAGGTAATTAGAAGTAGCTTTGAGCTACTTCTTTTCCAAAAGAAACTGAAGTGTTCTAGGATTATCAACAAATGGACCTCTGATTTGGGGACTAAATATGCTGTGAGATTGTAAATGTAGGTTCTGTCTAGTCTAGGCATACTAAGAGTCAAAATATAAGTAAAACCAAACTGTCACCATCACCCTTGATGTCCGATAAAACCTTATGAGTCCCAGGGGAGGCGACTTCTCCAGTTGAGAAGAAAGAGATGGAATGGGAGCAGCACAGACTTCAGACTCATACACTAGATTTAAATTCTGGGCGTGGGGCTGGGGGGATAATTGCTTTTCAGCTTTTAGTTTGTGTGTGCATGCTCAGTCCTTTAGTCGTGTCCCACTCTTTGCGACCCTATGGACCGTAGCCCGCCAGGCTCCTTCTGTCCATGGGATTCTCAAGGCAAGAGTACTGGAATGGATTGCCATGCCCTCCTGCAAGTGATCCTCCTGACCCAGGGATCGAACCGCCATTTCTTAAGTCTCCTGCATTTGACAGGCAGGTTCTTTACTGATAGTGCCACCTGGGAAGCCCAGCTTTTAATCTGTTTATGTAAAAGTAGAAATAGTCATTATCTTACAAAATACTAGTGAGGGTTTTATGACTAGCACCACAAGAATTAGATGTGTGTATACACTAATGAATGAATAGACTCTTACATAACCTTCTATCTATCAAATAGACCTGCCCCTTTTCCATTTAAAAATCATGTGTTCATTAGTATTGCACCTAGAGATCTTGAAGATTGCTACATTTGTGATGATGACAATTAAGAGTGATGATAAAATTGATTTCATCATGATTAACAGAAAAATATTCAAAGATATTTTCAAAGAACTTCCACATAATGAATGGTAGTTATAAGGATCAAGTGTTGCTGGAGCTAGAAAAGAATTTTTGTCCTTGCCAGAAAAGTTGTAAATTGTTATTGTTGTTATTCAGCTGCAAAGTCGTGTCCGACTCTGGGACCCCGTGGACTGCAGCACACCAGGCTTCCCTGTCCTTCACTGTCTCCTAGGGTTGGCTGAAACTCATGTTCATTGAGTTGGTGATGCCTTCCAACCATCTCATCCGCTTCTCCTCCTGCCTTCAGTCTTTCCCAGCATCAGGGTCTTTCCCAGTGAGTCTGCTCTTCACATCAGGTGGCCAAAGTATTGGTGCTTCAGCTTCAGCATCAGTCCTTCCAATGCATATTCAGGGCTGAAATCCTTTAGGATTAACTGGTTAAAGTTGTAAACACATGGGTAGTAATATTAAGAGTAAAGATATTTTTCACTAATTGTAACTCAACATTTCCTTTCCATTACATCAGTGAGAAGAAGCTCATTACAGATGCCCTTAATAAAAATCAGTTTCTGAAGAGATTGGATCCTCAACAGATCAAAGACATGGTGGAATGCATGTATGGGAGAAACTACCAGCAAGGGAGTTACATTATTAAGCAAGGAGAACCAGGAAACCATATCTTTGTATTGGCAGGTGGGTTTCACAGATTTTTACAGTTATCATATAACAAATAATTGCCTATTGTTTAATGATTTTTTGCACATATCTATAAAAATGCAAAATTGGTTGTTCTATTTGTAGAAAGCATAACAGATTGAGTTCATGAAATAGTAATATTTGTTGATCAAATCATCCTGATGTTAATAATTAATATTTATAGAATGCTTTCTATATGTCCAGCATCCTACTGAGTATTTAATTGAGAGATCTCCTTTCAGCATACCCATGTGTTTACAACTTTAACCAGTTAATCCTGTATGGTGAGAGTGTGTTTAATTTTGTAAGAAACCACCAAACTGTTTCAAATTGGGTGTACCATTTTGCATTCCCAGCAGCAGTGTATGATAGTTCCCATTGCTCCACGTCCTCTCCAACACGTGGTGTTGTCAATGTTCTCAATTTTGGCCATTCTATTAGGGGTAGAGTGATATTTCACTGTTGTTTTAATTTGTTTTCCCCTGATAAATGTGATGTGGGGTATCTTTCCATAAGCTTATTTGCCATCTGTATGTCTTCTTTGGTGAGTGTCTGTTAAAGTCTTTGGTCTGTGTTTTAACTGGGCTGTTTTCTTATTGAAGAATTTTAAGAGTTCTTTGCATTAATGTATTTTGTAAAACAGTTCTTTATCAGATCTATCTTTTGCAGAAAAGATATTTTCTCTCGGTCTGTGGCTTGTCTTTTAATTCTCTTGCTATTATTTTTCTCAAGCACTTTTCTTAGTGACTTCATTTATTACTTCTTATCACCACCATATGAAGTAAATATTATTAATTTATCTCTGTTATTGACAAGGAGCCCATGCAGAGTGGGTACCTCTTTATGCTAATCAGCTAATAGAGAGTGGGCTTCAGTCTGCATTCCTAACCACTTTAGTATAATGAGAATCATACGATATCTCACCTGGACGCTTTGTGTACCTTCTGCTTGTTTTATTTTAATTTATGGAATCTCAGTGGATTTTGATTATTTGTGTTTTCTTACATTCTACTGGATAGAGGGTCGACTAGAGGTGTTCCAAGGGGAGAAACTGCTGTCATCCATCCCTATGTGGACCACGTTTGGGGAGCTAGCCATTTTATACAACTGTACAAGAACTGCCTCTGTGAAAGGTAACAGAAGAAGAAATGCTGTAGTTTTCAATTGCTGCACAGTGTTAAAGACAGTCAAAGTCACTGTTGCATCCTGAGTCTTTTTGTCTTCTGTTGTGCCCCTTATGCTTTTATTAATAGAAAGGCAATGCTCATAAAAGGATTTATATTGAAGCACTTGTCTGAATGATTCAAGCTTAAAGAAACCTTTCCATTGGATACCTGTATTTAAAATATGAATATGGCTTTAAACATAATTGATTCTAGTATTTGCTTTAGTTACCAATGTCAACTTTTTACTATGTAGATATTTGTCTTGGCTCATCCAGAATGTTTGCTTTCTATTCTCCATGAGGTGATGACCCCATTATAAATCAGAACAAGTAATTATACCAATAAAATGTGTAAATATCAAAAAGGATATGAATTAATTAATGAGAGTTTTCCTGAGTGATTTCTGAGATTAGTTCAATTGCTTCTCTTTAGGGTTCTTGTTTTTATTGACTTTATTCATGGTCATATCATGTTTTCTGAATTAACTTAGATCTAGTGTTTCTCAGTGTTTGAGACTAGGTTATCTGTGTGAACATTGTTGCAGTATTTGATAAAAATGCAGATTCTAAGGCTCCACTCCAAACAATCTCTGGCAATGGGGCCCAGGGATCTTTATTTTTAACAAGAGTGTCAAAATAATTCTAATTCACTCTAAAGTTTAGTAAACAAGAGATTTTGATTTTGGTTTATTCTGTAGGCTCTCATCACTGCTATAAAAAAAACTCACTATCATAATTTCATATAGATTTTTTGGAGTGACTACTTTTACTGCTCTTCCTTTTTAGATTATATTCTTGCTTTTAATGTCTTTCCTATGAAAAGGCTGTCTCAAAAACTGTCTTGCATAATCTCTTTGAAAGTGATTTTATATATTTTATGTAAAAGTAACCATAGAGATTCTTAAAATATATTGGCTCTCGTTAGCAACGGTGTCTAAACAACATAAAAAGACATAAAAACAGACTCACAAGCAGAGACCTTTAGCTTTCAATTATCTGCTTGTGAATTCTTCACTTTCTGGAATAGATGCAGGCTGGCTGGCTTTCTTTTGTATCACAGCCCAAATCTAAAATACATCCCGATGATGCAGTGTGTAATTAAGAATTGCAAACTAATTTTAATATCATCCTAAGCAAACATAATTAGAATGGAAATCTTTTGCTGCTCACTTCCAAATCATGGTTCATTTCAAAGCCAAAAATGATTTTATAAAATTACCTACTCTTTACATCACTACTTCCTTCCATTTTGCATGTTTAAATAATGCGTTTTCCAAGAAAGATAATTTTATGGCAGTACATGATAAATTTATCGATTAACATTTTGGAATGTTTTCTTAATGTAAGAGCTCAACAGTGTTTTGTTATTTTCTTGATTTTTCTAAAGCTATTACCAATGTTAAAACATGGGCACTAGATCGAGAGGTATTCCAGAATATAATGAGAAGGACAGCTCAAGCTAGAGATGAACAGTACAGAAACTTCCTCAGAAGGTAAGAGTAACGCATTGACGGCAGAAAGAGAAGGTAATCTAGCAATACTGTGGGTATGTTCGTTTTATCAGAGTAATTATTTTACTATAGCTTTTTTTATTTAAGTGTTTTCCACATGATTAAGCCAAAGGAACACAAGTATTTTCTTGCAGTAAATGCCACTATATATGAAAATTTGTGTTTCATTCCCGTTAGCCTTTTCACTGATATATTTCTCTTGCTAATTTTGCCCTTGTGTTGATGGAGTCATTTCATATAGTATAGAATAATGTCCAAAAAAATTCCTAAAATATTCACTTGGGTTGCTCAGTTGACTTTTAAAGATATCCTATAATTTGAAAGTCGATAACAAGGTAATAATGCTTTGTTTAAAATACTATTAAATTATTTTACTGTCCTTATTTGCTTTACCTGAGACATTTTCTCATTGGCATAGCCACACTATCTTCCTAATGACTATTATTTGTAGCAAATTAATTTGCCAAAAATGTTACTATGCTTGCCATCATGACAGGGAGCCTTGAAACATATGCATTTTGTAAACTGTTCTGAACCCCCAACTACTTAGATGCATTATAGAGAAACAAGTACCTATAGCTAAAAAAAGTCAGCAACACATTAAAAACATTTTTTGGAAAGTATAAGTTTCTTATTTAAAATCTTTCTGTGTGTTTTGGGGGAGATTTGACAGTCTCTGAAGCTGCAATGTGTACTGTAACAATACGTAACCTATGATAAGTGATAATAAAATATCCTACAGTTTTCAAAAATAAATTCTGAGTTCTTTTTAAGTATAAAGTTTATCTTGTATAACTATCCTGCAAAGTCAGTGATTTTAGGAGTGTGCAGTGCCTAGCCCATAGTGAGGACTCAGTGAATACGGAGTGGAGGCATTGTTAATCAGTAGAACATTGCAGGCATTGAGGTTTTTCATGTGGACTCTCTTTGATGTTCTTTCCCAGACACAATAATAACTCCTGGAAGAAAGCTGCAGTAATGACAAGCAGGTGCCTTACCTATATGCTAATCATCGCCTTAGCCATCAGGTTGTGGGGTCTACCTGAGTATTTGTGTTAGTTGCTCAGTTGTGTCTGACTCTTTGCCACTCCATGGACTGTAGCCCACCAGGCTCTTCTGTCCATGGAATTCTCCAAGCAAGAATACTGGAGTGGGTTGCCATTCCCTTCTCCAGGGGATCTTTCCGACCCAGAGATTGAACCTGGGTCTCCTGCATTGCAGGTAGATTCTTTACTGTCTGAGCCACAGGTTATCTCAAAATCCAGCAACTGAACACCACAGATCTGTATTTAAAACTAATGCAAGGACCAAACGGGGATATATAAATAACCAGTGTCTATGGGTTGCATCATATCTGAGATAAAACCTGAGCTGCTAGGCATTAGTGGTTCATTACCTTGAAAATCTACTGTATTCTGCCTCAGTGGAAGGAACTCAGGAGAATTTACTAGTGCATGGTCCTTCCTTCCTTTTTACTTTCCTTTTTTCTTTTGTTATCTCATTCATATATTTTTTTCAACCAATATGTATTCCAGGCCTAAACATGGTGAATTCAGTGGTGAACAAGATAACCTTATCTATGCCTTCATAGATGGGAGACAGATTAAAGATTTTTTTCTCATATTAATTTCCTTACCAACCCCCAAGGGTGATAAGCTCATAGGAGATATTTTTCACTAACATTATAGATCCCAGTTTGGACCAGAATTAGAACTTTCATAATTGGCATATGCTAATCAATTAAACCAAAGGAACAAAAAGTATTCCCTTGCAGTAAATGTCACTATACGGAAAAAAAGTTCTGGTTAACCCTTTTACCTTTTCATCTGTAAGAAGACATATTAGAGAAATACATTTGTCTTTGCTTCATAATATACAACAAGCTCTTTTTCCATTTACATTTTCTTTCCCAGTGGCTCAGTGGTAAAGAATCCACCTGCAGTATAGGAGATGCGGGTTCAACCCCTGGGTTGGGAAGACTGGAGAAGGAAATGGCAACCCACTCCAGTATTCTTGCCTGAAAAATCCCATGGACTGAAGGAGCCTGGCAAGCTACAGTCCATAGTTTGCAAAGAGTCAGACCCTACTGAGTGACTGAGCATGTTATGAAATATTTGACATATATCAAATGATGCACAGTACATATGTAAGTTATAAGATATAATAACAGAATGAGTGCCATCAAGCTACTGCCCCATATAAGTAGACAGTTAGCAGTGATGATGGGGTTCTCATATGCTCTCTGTGGTCATGTTCTAGCCTTCCTTGGGGTATCTCCTCTCCTTGGATTAGTCTATAATCTGAAGTTTGGTAATCATAACCTTGGTATTTCTTATTATTTTGCCTCTAGCTTGGTTTAGCTTACTTTTGAACTTTACAAAATTGGTATTATTTTTGCAAGTCAATTTTTTTTACTCAATACCTTTTATGAAGGTTCATCTACTTGGTATTCCTTATTATTTTGCCCATAGCTTGGTTTGGCCTAGTTTTGAATTTTACAAAATTGGCATTATTTTTGCAAGTCGTTTTTTTGCTTAATTCCTTTTATTAAGTTTCATCTACTTGGTTACTGCAGTCATTTCTTCTATTGTAGAGTTCTGTCATCTGACTCAACCACAGTACATTCACTGCTCTACCACTGGGGATGTTTCAGTGCTTGGCAATTACAAATGATTCAGATGCAAAAGTTCTTAGACACAGCTCCTGGCTACATGCCTCCTGAAGCACTGTGCAAGAATCAGTTTAGATATTGTAAAGTATTAGCCTCCAACTAATAAAAATAAATGAAAAAAAAAAAAAGAATCAGTTTAGAGCTCTCGTTTTGAAAATTAGACCCAATTGTGTATTTATGGAGGAGCATCATTTTTTTCCTTAGCAGTGTCAAATTTTAGATGGTAAGAAAAAAGTGTTTACTTCACAGAAATTCTATCAACAGTCCTGAGTGAAAATGGGTGAAGTAGAAATTTCTTTAAAAGTACAATTTAATCATATTGATTAGTTAATAATACTGAGTGGAATTTTTGTTTTTGTTTTTTCAAATAATTTCAGTGTTCTTTTCCTTCTGTTTATTATTATTATCTGTAAAAATGTTCTTATTACATGCCTGTGGCTACCATTAATTTTAAAAGGTTGTACAATATGACTAATAATCAAAGATCATTTCCATGCTAATTCCTATGTTCCCCCTGGATTCAGTCTTAACTTAATTACAGGATTTAGATGAAAATCTGATCCTCCTCTGGAAGTGGAGGACCTAATTCATGCTAATAAAAGAGTTATTGAGATGTGGAACACATTTCTGGATGTGATTCACTTTGAAAGCCAACAATAAATGTAAACTTTTTTTTTTCTCCAAACAAAATTTGGTGTCTTACAATTTTTACTTATTTGCCTAGGATAAATGTCTGCTCTTTTATGTGATCATATAATTTCAGTGTATTTGAAATATGTTTTTGAAATTCAGTTATTTATGTATGATATATACAGAGGTTTACTTTGGAAAAATTAAAATATTTGTTTAAATGCATATATAAATCTATGTAGAGATGTGTATTTGTAGTTTAATTCAGGAAGATAATTAAATACAGGTTTCATTTTAATTTTGAAGTGTATCCTTGCTGAAGAATTTACCTGAAGATAAACTAACCAAGATCATTGACTGCTTGGAAGTGGTAAGAAATTTTAAAGTAAAAAATATATATTTCATTAAGAGATTGTATAATCTTGTCATTATTAGCCCTGTAAATGAATAAAAAGGAAAAGATGGTGATCACTAGTCTACAGAAACCAGGAAACTTTTTCACAGTAGAAAAACTTTAGGCTAACTCACACTGAATTAAGGGCCTGGATTGGGATTCAGGGACTCTTATGAAATATATAAAAGAAAATTGGATTTGCATGTGTAAAGATTTACATATTTTAATCTTTTTTAGTATATTTTATAGAACTAATCTGCCTTACTCAAGAGGCATTTCATTTTCACCAGTTAACATCACAGTCCTTTAGAGAGTATTCCTAGTATGAAGGAGTCAGTGATGCATAAGTAGGTAATAGAGTAGAGAAAGGATATTATTGGAACTTTCCTGACGAGCTTCTGAGTCAAGCTACGAAATACTCCATACTTGAAAACTCTAGGCTATGAAAAGACATTTGGAAAAAAAAACCAAACAAACAAATCCTGCACTTAAGAAGCACTTTACCTATTTTAACATCTAGGGAAAAGAGGCATATTGGAACGTGTTCAAAAACTCGTATTAGGGATCACACAGATGGTTGGTTCTAGTCCAAGCCTAGTCAAGTCTTTTCGTGAATAATGCTTTTCTGACATGTACCTTGGATTCTAATAATGTGCATTATATGAAAACCGCTTCAGAGATTAATATTCAAAGTAAATAACTTCTAACTTTTTTGGGGGGAGGAGGGTTAATTTCAGTGAAACTCAAATGGCTTTTAGGGAATTTAAAGGTAGTATGGAATAGGAAAGGAATCACATGTCGACTTTAAGCTTTTATAAAGCTGTTCTCAGTGGGAGACAGAAAAAAAAAAACCCTCCAGACTGATTGTTGACAGATTCATGCCTCTGTCAATCACAATATACAACGTAAACTAATATCTGTTGAGAAGGGAGCACCAACCATTTCATCCTTAAGTGTAAGTGACACCAGTAATGTTTCCATTTACAATTCATGGAACCCCTCCAGCCATTTATCAAGGACAGGCCATGGTGACACAGTGCTTGGCCTTGTGTCCCCAGAGCGCTCACATATGAAGTCATTTTCAAGAGGACTGCTTGCCTGCATCTCATGGGATTTTCTCAGTGTAACATAACCCAATCACAGATGTTACAAATTAATAATTCATCCTAATTTCTGAGTGTTTTTTTTAAAGCTGGAGAGGCCATGTATTTTTTTTTGTGAACCGAGGAAATCTGTTTTTAATATAATACTAATAGAATAGATTCACCAGAGGGGAATTCCATGCTGACAGCAAATATTAAAATTTAGTATCATTAAAAATAAATGGTAAATTAGACATATTTATAGCAGCCACAGGCAATAGCTACAGAATATATAGGGGGCGGGCGGGGGGGTGTCTCCAACCTAGTATTAATTAACACACAGTTTGAGTTTGAAAGTCTCATCATTTAAAACACCCTAGAAAGGCTTTATTATATATTCGCCTTTGCAGATAGCAGCACAGTTTATAAAGGGCTCTTTATTCATACCTGGCAAACAAATGTGTCACTGTAATGTGTGAAAATTCTCAAATTCGAAAGTAATTAACAAGAGAGTCATGGGATCTACTTAGCACTAAGAAAAGTATATAATTTACCAGCATAGCTTGGACTAATAACCCATCAGCAGGGTCTTGACAGCGGCCAGTCACTAATGCATTTGAGTTGCAGAGCCCCCGCTGAACTCCAGGGCCAGCTGCCCCACAAACTGACTCCATAATCTTTGAGAAAAACAGGCTGAATCTGGTGCACTATTTAGGAGTTGATTTGGGTGGTTTGAAGTTTTTGTGCAGAGGGTGCAGGGGGAGCATCAGAATTTCCCATCACCAAGCAGTAGATCTGATGAGTTTGTTAAGACTTTGTCTGTTGAACTGCTGGACCAAATGGGCTGAATGTGCGGTATTCCAAAAGCATTTCTTGTTTTAGCGTAAATCATCCAGAGCATTCAATTCTAGAGGCAGACATCACCTTTAAACCTCTTCTCGTGTTCTGATGAGAAAAGGAGGGTGGAAAGAGTAGCAACATATCACTGGTGTGTTTTAAGAGTTAACTGAAGCACATCCTAAAACATGTCACAGATCCTGAATGCAGTGTAACTGTTAATGATGATAAAGATGACAGTGTGACTTCTGCGCCTGGCAGTTGCGTAGAATAAAAGGAGAGGGAATGGTTTCTGTTTCCTCTGGTGGCAATCGATCCAGGAAGTGTGGGATTTGAGTGTGCGGTGGATGGAAAAGTCACCTAACTTTTTGTTATGGAGATTTGGTAATTTGACCCAGTGGCCCTGGTACTGACCTGCCTCTTTCAGGTGTAGTTAAGAGTGGGGTGGGGGTAGGGAGTGTGGAATGTCCTTGTCTTTAATCAGATCACCAGTGGTGCTGCTTCAAAGGCAGATTCCCTCTAGAAATATGGTACTGATGATGCAGGAATAGGGACACAGAAATAGAGAATAGACGTGTGGACACAGCAGAGGAAGGAGAGGATGGGACAAATGGAGAGAGTAGCATTGAAATATACACCATGTATAAAATAGATAGCTAGTGGAAACCTGCCCTATTACCAAGAGACCTCAACTCGGTGCTCTGTGATGATGATCCAGAGGGGTGGGATTGGGGAGAAGGGGGTGAGAGGGAGGCTCAAGAGGGAGGGAATATATGTATACATATAGCTGATTCATGCTCTTGTATAGCAGCAGCTAACTCAACATTGTAAAGCAATTATCCTCCAATAAAAAAAAAAAGGCAGGTTCCCACATACTACCTCAACACTTACTCAATCAAAAACTCTGGGGTCAGGACTCAGATATCCACACTTTAGCCATACAATTTTTAGGTTTATTAAAGTTTAAAGTTATGAAAAGAATACATGTATTTTGGGTTTGCCACAGTCTGTCTCTTCATTCACAAGATTTCCATTTTTTATCATTTTGGGAAAGTCTAATCTTCCTTTCTTATATTTCCTGCTAACACTTGCATAAGCCAGTGAGTTTTTTTCTCAATTTAATGATTACACCCAGAACCATAAGAAAGTTGAGATAATTGTGGATTTTGCCAGTTTATGGACCTGTTAGTTAAAGTCTGGGTGGCTCGGTGAGAAAGTTAACTAGTCCAAAGTCTGGAGATTAGAGTTTGTGGTCAAGTGTCTGTCCATTGCAGATGTCAGTTCTGGTGGGGATCAAGGTCTCCTCATCTATCAAATAAAGGCGTGGTAGGCCACATCTCTAAGAGCTTTCTCAGTGTTTCAGTTACAAAATTCCACACTGTGGGTTCACCTAAATGGAGGAATTTCTGTTGGTTTTCATTTTGTAGGCTCTGATAAGGCATCAGATACTAAAGTATGCCTGAATGGTTGACAGGGTTTACCTGATCCAGATGTGTTTGATTTAAAATTTCTGAGATAAATAACTTGGACAAGCGGAAAACAGCTGGTAACAAACCCAAATAACTGAATACAGTGTGTGTGTTTTAATTTATCTATTTTAATTGGAAGATAATTACTTTACAATAGGGTGATGGTTTTTGCTATTCTGTATACAGTTTTTTAAACAATCAACTTAGGTACACGGTCACATGATGCAGGGTATGTGTGTGTGTAAGTGCATGTGTGTGTGATCATACTTCTGTGTATCATCAATATGTATTTGTAATGAAGATTTCTAGCCACACACTAAAGAAGCTAAGGCAATCACAGGCTTTCTTCTTTGTCTTTGCCTTCTATCAACTTGGATTTTAATTCTAGTTTCATATTTTCTATTTACAGACACTCAGGCTCTAGCATTTTGCTATCACAGAATGAGCATTTTCTTTACATAAAAAACTCTTTCATCTTCAACTGTTGCTGTTTATGGTTTTCTTCTGACCTCTGCCTCTTAGTCTGCCCTGGAATTGATTTCCTTTTTTTTCCTGTCTTCCCATGATACTAAATAACTACTCTCAGGGTTTTTAGACATCTTTTAAAAACATCTTTTTTAGACTGTGGGACATAACTCATTAGTAGGTCATGAAATCAATTTAGAGGAACAATTAAAAAAAATCAGAGCAGTAAGCATAGGTATTGTCCACATGTTTGTTTTATACAAAAGTGTGTGTCCATGCTTACATGTGTGTATGGGGGCATACATGTAAAATGCATTTAATTACTGTAGGCCAGAGTAAAAAATGCTCGAAAATCTTTGCTTCACAGGGTAGCGTTAGTGGCTTCTTGGTCCTCTAAGGGACCCCTTTGCAGTGTAACCCAGGACAGCAAACCACACTGTTTGCAGTTCTCCTTTTGGTCTTGGTGACCACCCTGGCTAGACTGGCTACACTCCTCAGTTGACAAACACTGGCCCGTCTGGCATCGTAGCCAGTACTTACCACTATATATTTTTGGTCTGACCTACATCCCCAGCCTTTTCTGATCTATGAAATTACTGTCAACACACTGGGAGGTATTATTTATCTTCCTCCCATGGTTTTGGGTGACAAAGACCCATCACTAGGAAAAATACTGTTAGGAATCTTGCCGCTTTCAGTGTTCCCTTTCTAGCTTCTCCCTCTTAGCTTATCCGACAGATAGAAATTAAAGCTGCACATCCATGCAGACCAGAGGCCATATAATAACTGAAGGAACAGCCTATTAGCAGTTCAGAAACTCTCCAGATTCCTTCGATCCCTTGTGGGTAATGGGGGCTGGGATTGAGAAGGGAACAGGAGCGACTGAGGGCAGATTGGCTGAAACAGGAGTGTGTCACATGTCAGTCCTAAAACCAGCAGTTTCAGTAAAGAGAACTGAACCTTAGCTCTATCATGAAGATGCCTGGACTGAGGTATCATGGTCACGAAACCTACTTGGATCACAGTTCATCTCAACAGTAAAATCGCGCTTGAATGGAGTGAACATTTGTGATAGAGCTAAAATGAGAAAGGTGAGTAAGCAGCCTGTGATGTAAAAAACTCAAAGTATTATTTTCCAAGTAAAATAGAAGTTTGTTTCTTGCCCACATAGCAGTTCAGGGAGAATGGTCCTGTGTGGCTATACAGAATCCTTCAAGCACTTGAGCTGTTGGCCACTCTGCCATCTGCAACACGGTCCCTCTCCCAAGATCTCTCCTGGTCATGCCTTTGCCACTGGGGCACAAGTGTGAAGACACATGTCTGCAGCGGATCATGGGCTTGGCATGGAAATGGCATGTGACACTTCTATTCAGATGCTTACAGCTAGAAGTTAATCCCGTGGCCACAGCTAGTAGCAGAGAGGCTGGGGAATGTGGTTTACCTGTGGAAGACACTGATGACCAACTCATAGCCTCTTTCACAGGAATTAACAGTCACTGACTTGACTATCTCACCTAGTCCTCACACATTGTTAGGAGTGGTAGACCATACCATCTCAATTCGACAGAATAGGAAACTGAGGTCAGATTTAAGTAACAGCTAAGCAAACCATTCTCATGCTCCTCCTTAACATAGCAATCATTAGTCATCTGCTATGTTTCAGGAGCTTTTAATTCATCAAAAATTATTGTCTTTAATTGACTTCAGGTGGTGGGCAAAAATGGACTCCCTCCAAAGTAAATGTCTAGACCCTGAATCCTGGAACATGGATGTGTTATGTTACATGGCATAAGCAACTTTAAATATATAATTAAGGTTTCTAGTGAAGTGAAGTAGTGAAAGTCGCAAGTTGTGTCTGACTCTTTGTGACCCCATGGACTATAGCCTGCTAGGCTCCTCTGTCCATGGAATTCTCCAGGCAAGAATACTGGAGTGGGTTGCCATTTCCTTCTCCAGGGATCTTCTTGACCCAGGGATCGAACCCAAGTCTCCTGCATTGCAGGCAGACTCTTTACTGACTGAAGTACAAGGGAAGCCCAATGAAAGTGAAAGTCGCTCAGTCCTGTCTGACCCTCTATGACCCCATGGATTATACAGTCCATGGAGTTTCTGGGCCAGAATACTAGAGTGGGTAGCTTTTTTCCTTCTTCAGCAGATATTCCTAACTCAGGAATTGAACTGGGGTCTCCTGCCTTGCAGGCGGATTCTTTACCAACTGAGCTATCAGGGAAGCCCTGAGTACCACCAAGGATACTGGAGTGGGTTACCATGCCCTACTCCAGGGGATCTTCCCAACCCAGGGATCGAACCTGCACTTCTTAATGGCTCCTGCATTGGCAGGCAGGCTCTTTACCACTAGTGCCACCTGGGAAGCCCAATTAAGGTTTAGGACCTTAAAATAGGGAAATTACCTTGGACTGTCTAGGTGGGTCAAATATTATTACATGAGCCCTTATGAGCAGAGAATTTTCTCTGGCTGAAGTCAGAGAGATGCAGCAGAAGTGGAAGTCAGAGACATTCCCAGTGTATGAAAAATGCCATGTGCAACTGCTGGTTCTGAAACATAGCAGGCTCCATGAAACGACAGGAAAGAAGTGTCTGGGTGCTAAGAGGCAGCCCCCAGCTCACAGCCTACAGGAAAATGGAACCATGTTCTACAACCTCCATGAACTACATTCTGCCAACAAGATGATTACACTTGAGAGCAAGTTTTTTCCTGGAGCCTCCAGAAAGGAACACAGCCCTACTGACACACCTTGAGTTCAATCTTGAGAGACCCGGAACACAGAAATTCTGTTGAGCCACACCATGCCTCAACTCTCTGACCCACAGAAACTGAGATAATAAATGGAGGTTGTTCCAAGCCACTAAGTATGTGTGGTTATTTTTTTACAGATGCAATAGAAAAATAATGTACTTATATTCTCTCAATCTTTGAAAGTAAATGTTATTTGAATTTGATGGATTTATGAAAGTGAAATTCAAAGCAGAACTGAGATTTGAATCTATATTTCTATGGCTTGAAACTACTTTTTCCCCGAAGATACTGTGCTTCCTACCACAAGACATTGAAATGTCTTGCAAAACGTACACTGTGCTATGTAAATAGAAGGCATGTTTATTAGTATCAGGAGTAATACTTATTCCATAAGTGTAAATCTGTTTTAAGTGTAAATGACCAAAAAATGTATTGAAATATAGCAAACACAAAAGTAGTGTTGTTTGGATTTTATTTTCAACTCTAAAAGAAAAATAAGGGAGCTATTATGTTGTTCTTTATGCCTTTTACAAAAATTAAATAAGCCCATTTTTGCTTGTATAAATTAAGATATCCATCTTAGTTCTATGACTCTGAGGCAATATCAAATTAAAGGAAAGTAGGGATGGACAGTTTAATCCATCTTGTATTTTCTAAGAGACTGAATTACTCTTTCGGTCTGACAGGTGGATGAATTACTTTTCCCTGCCTAAAAATTCTCTGATTACACACACTTATATGAGGGAAACAAAAGAAATAAGTGATAATTTGAGATTTCACGAGTTTAAATTTTGTTGAAGAACAGAATTTACATGTAAAAAATTCTAATGTCAACCTTTCATGATATAAATCTTTGGAGAGAATCCATATGAAAGAGCTCCTTTCATATAGATTGTGTATAGTGTTCCCAACCATTGCTTTGCAAAGAATAAGAATTGAGACTGATATTCCTCCATACCCACTGGGGATAGTATTTTCAATTTATAAGATAATGTTTGCTCTTTTTCTAAACTCTAGACCCAGTTTCAGATTGTTGCAACTCCCTAAACAGTTTATATTTAGATTATTTGGGTGAAGCTCACTTGTGTATCTCTGATAATTACCTTGCTCTCATTTCTCTTCATGTCTTCTGTGTCCATGCCTGACAGTATTCCAGGTGAATGTTTTTTGTGTGTTTGTGAACGATAAACATAAATTCAGGTAAACAAGCAAAAGTCTTCTTACTTTCCGTGGCTTTTGACTACAATGTTTAAGAAGATCACAGTTACCATAAGCAAAAAATAGCAGAAATGGGTGTGGAATATTCATTTCAAAAACACAATGATAATAAAAGTGATCCAAAATCTTGATAACAAAATGGAGTTACAGATAAATAGCCCAGAGACAAGGATTGAGAAGATGCAAGAAATGTTTAACAAGGACCTAGAAGAAATAAAAAAGAATCAATTAAAAATGAAAAATGCAATAAGTGAGATCAAAAACACTCTGGAGGGAACCAACAGTAGAATAACGGAGGCAGAAGATAGGATAAGTGAGGTAGAAGATAAAATGGTGGAAATAAAAATAAAAAAAATGGTGGAAATAAATGAAGCAGAGACGAAAAAAGAAAAAAGAATAAAAAACACAAGTTCTGTCTCATTTATGTCTTCATCTGTATATCTCTGCTGCAGCTAACCTTTTCTTTTTCTTTCATCCCAATAGGAATACTATGACAAAGGAGATTACATTATTAGAGAGGGGGAGGAAGGAAGTACGTTTTTCATTTTAGCAAAAGGAAAGGTAAATATTAATTAAAGCTTACTTAAAGTAAATCTAAAGAAGCATTTCAAATCTGTTTGCCATAAAAGCAGCAGTGTTGTGCATTGCAGCCTAAGTCATCTGTCTGCATTGAGCAGGTAACGGAGCTTCTGCTCAGAAGATACCCGGGGAAGTGAGGGTTGGAGGAGGCGGGGGGGGGGGGGGGGGCGGTCTGGGCACTGGGTTTGGGGCCACAGGAAACTTATCATGGGTTCTGGCTTCTATAGTAATTTCTTAGTGACCTTAGTCAGGTCACTTGACTTTCTTTGGACCTCATTTCAATGTGTGTAAAGTGACTGGATTATTTCTAAAGGTACCTTCCAGTTATGATTGTGTGATTCTCAGCCCAAGGGTTCAAGATCAAGGGCTGTAATATTTTCCCATCCCACAGGTAGACAAACAACAGGTAGAGAATGAACTAGATAACTGACAGAATAATCAGGCCTCATGCAGTAGAACAATATGATTGAGAACTTGAATTCATACACAGTAGCTCAAGTTTATTTAGATGATGATGAGAAATTTGCACTAATATATGCAACATAGTTACACTAATATACGCAATATATTCCTTTACCTAGATATTGAGTGGCTAACATGTTGCCAGTTGTTCCTAGGTTGACTCTTTGCAGTGTTCCTCAGAAACAAAAAGCATTTGTGAAATATTGAAGGAAAGGATAAAATCTTAAGAATCTATGTCTCTGAAGTGTCAGCTTTTTACTTACACTCTTTCTTCCGCAGAAGAGTTTATCATCACAGAGCTAGACACTGCCCTTTGTAAACTGCTTTGTGGTTGAACTTTGGACAGAGCCCCCAGCAATGGAAAAAAAATTAACAAAATAGTTTTAGAAACTCTTGAACACTGCACCACTTTTCATCATTTCTCCCCAACCTGGACCTCATGGTTTGGAAGAATTCTGGTTAATAAACAAATTGCATTTATCATTTAAACTTTTTGAAATTTATTAATAAATGCTCATCAGAACTTCAAACCAGCACAAAGCAACCCTTCTTAGCATGTTGAACTGGAATAATTCTAGCCACAAAAAGGAATATTGACTTTTTGTTTGACTCTGGCTTCCTGGACTGTGGATCACACTGAGACTCTCATGAAAATTGTGGACTCTCCTCCATGTACTCATTTTTCTTTCAGTTTTAGAGCGTACGCAGAAATCAACAAGTTAGTAAGGAACATGAGATTCAGAATTCCTGATACTGTCTTATTCTTGATTGACTTGTCAACCCCGTTTGGTTTTTTGAAAAAATAAATTTCCCATAAGGCCATTATTATTTTCCTTGAGCATCCCTAGGAAGAAATAACTGGATTCATGTAAAATACTTTGAGCAGTGAGATTTGAATGAAAGCTTCCTCTTACAAAAGGTGGAGTCATTTGATCGTGTTGAATCACAGGAGTTTTCATTCCATCCAAATGAAATGAGTATAGTTAGATGATTGTAACTACTGCAAGAATAAAGCAAAGACTTTTTTCCTTGTTGAGTCAAATTTATATAGATCAGGAGAGTCTGGTTGAATGGGTATGTGTTCAGATTCTCCTTTTTTTTTTTTTTCCTTCTCTCTCTCTTTTCTTATATTGTTTGACATCATTTAGGTAAAAGTCACCCAAAGTACTGAAGGCCATGATCAACCACAGCTAATAAAAACACTGCAGAAAGGAGAATATTTTGGAGAAAAAGCTCTTATCAGGTGAGTTCATGAATTTGTATACCACACTTAAATAATTCTTTGGTTATTTTACATGTGTACTTCTTACCCATGTAGAGTTGTCAAATAGAGCTACCAATTATCCAGGAAATAAACGGCAATTTTACTGACTTCTAAAAATTTCATTGTTAAGCAGGAAATAAGTGTACTAACTTTCCACAGGAAGACATTCACAAAGTCTTCTAAGTTTGCTAGTGAAAATAAAATTGGTGTTCTATTAGAATTTTTAGTTTAAAAGAGAGAAAAAAGTTGAAAATTTTAATTTTCCTGTAAGAATGTGTTTTTATATATTCCTGTTTTACCCTTTAAAAATGATCAAATAATGACTTCCCATATTTTTGTGATTTTAAATCATTATGTCAAAAGTAGTATTTTCTTAAGGATTTTTATAGGCTCATTTTGCAAGTTTTAAAAACAGCTCAAAATAGTGTATTTGACGTTTCTATCTGAACCTTTGGCCTTTTGAGATATGAGTTTATTTACTGTTGACCTAACTTATGGAAAAATATTTGTAAAGATTAATCAAATGTCTCAGGAGGCATTATGTGCTTCCTGGAATTTAGAAAACAACCTCAAGTCTGAAAAAATTTTTCTTAAATAAGATAACTTTATAAAAGATCGAGTTAGAATTTTGAGCAACACCTTTTTTTTTAATTACATGTTTTTAAATGAATGCTTGAAATTAGTTAAGAAAACACTTAAAATTTATGTTATTACTAAATACTTTTTATTTCATCTTTATACTTATAAAAATGACTGCTCATATTTCTTCCTTTTTAATTTTTGTGAAGCCTACAAATTCTGCTGATTGACATGTTAGGATTACATTAGGTACAGAGCAATGAAAAAAATCTTCATAAATTTCCTGAAAACAAAGTTGGTTCTTTAAAAATCATAAAGCTCTTAGTTTTTAAAGAAAATTAAACTACTTAAAAACTCAGTAAGCTCAGTTACGGTTATTTTGTAAACAATTTAAAAATTAAATTTAAGGACAAGTTGAATTTTTGTTTTCCATTTTCTAGGTGGTAATGAACTTGTTTCAATAACAGGGAAATAATCTTCTTTTTGTTTGCTTTTTTATGACAGAATATGAATACACTCATGTAATACAATCATGTAATATCATTATTCAAGACTTCAATGTGTTTGTTCTTAACATTAACACATTACTTTTCTCATACCCCAAAGCAAAATTACTAAAGTCCAAAAGTGCAGAGAACTTTATAAATACACTATAGACTCAAAATAACTCTTTAAAAGGAAAAATGCTGTCTGGTTATCCTGGATCTGAAGTAATTTATGCCCTCTGTTGCAGCCAGCCAATTATAGTATTTTCCCATGAGAAACATGGGAATTTATATTTAATAAAGACACTCTGCTCCCCAAAGCATTTAAAATGTAAAGCTAGAATCCATGAGAAGGAGAGTTGGATGCATATATTTTTTCATTTTTGTGTATTTTTATGCTTTCACTTTTTAGGGCCACTGACTGATTCAGTATTCCTTATGTTCTGTGTATTTACATGATTTGATGTTAAATATCCCAGGAGTTCCTTCAGCATTTTATGTGCAAAAATAAATCCATGACACTTACACAGTTATTACGAAAGAAACATATGTGTATTGTAAACATCTAATACTTATAAACTTTTTGTAAAGGATATTCCTAGTCAAAATCATGATACTGACAAGTGAAAAGGATGTCATGCCTCTTTTTTTTTTGAACTTACAGATCAAATAATTGACCCATATCCAGGATCATATCTGTATAGATATCTATGCACATACAAGTCGAGAAAAAACTACCCAGCTCCCAACTCAAAAGCACATTAAGCTGAAATGTTTTCACCAATGTTTTCTAGCAAGGACCCTGTGAACTTGAGGGGGGCTGTGGGTTATGTCTGAAGGCATCTGGAAGCCAGTGATGTGGATAGGGGACTTCTCTGGAGTGAGAGATAGGCTGTCAAAGTTTTCCCTGTCCTGTCACTAATGGAAGATGAGGGAACTCTACTTGTGTGATGCCATTTTTGGGGAAGTTGTTAAAAGCAGTCTAAACATGCTTGCTGCTATAGGCTACCTTAAATGCAATCACTTTCAGAGCACTGGGTATCATATGGATGTACCTTTCCTCGGGGTCTCTAGTTTGTGATTAATAGAGGAGTAAAAATAATATAAATAAAGGTACCTACAGAAATACTTTCCCCAATGCTTGACCCTTGGTATTCATTAGGTAATTAAATTTACCATCATTAGATCATGTGCCATAACTCATTGTATTTAAGGGAACAACTGTAGAATCACTAATATATTGTGTACCCCTGAGAACGAAGACAATGCTACTAATTACACTATGACTCACTGTCAGTTGTAAGACATGTTTTGATTTCAGGGATTTTCATGGAAACTGTACATCTTAGACTATAAAATGAAAGGTTTTAATATTTCTTTAATTCACTGGGTCATATGGCACTTTCTCTGGGTTTTCTTCTTGTTTGGTTCTTTATAAGTTACTCATGCAAGGTTTTTCTTATACATTTCTTTGATCAGTTCATTTCAATTTTGACTGCTTATTAATTAGCAGTTCCTGTTTGATCAGAGGAGAGCTATTTTAGTTGTGCTGGCACAGAACACAGAATGAAGTTCCATACACGGTTGCGCTCACTGACTCCTTGAAGTTCCCAGTGCATTTATCTTAACTCTCCTCTGGATTTCTCGTGCACATCATATTTTTAGGACACATTTCAAATCTTTTTTTGGGGAGGAAGGGGTGGAGTGTAAATTATGATGTTACAAAAACACATCATCTTTGGAAGGCTTAAGTGATGCTGTTTCATATCAGTCGCAGATTCCCTAATAAAAATAGATGTCTAATTTCTCACTAGAAAATTGACTTCCCTGTTTTTGTCTGCAGTGAAGATGTCAGATCAGCTAACATTATCGCCGAAGAAAATGATGTTGCATGCCTGGTTATAGATCGAGAGTGAGTATACTGATGTTGTTAAGAGAATGCCGTCAATTGCCACCTTTGAAGACTTGGCCTTCTGTTACTCCAAGGGCCCATCTGTCTTCCCATTCATCACCATTTGGAAACGCTGGCCAATCCTCAGCTGCGAGGACATTCTATTAAAATTCATGGGAAGGAACCAGGCCTTCTGATCTGAATCTGTCTGTGGCAGCGGCAGATGCTGACGGGCTAAATATTTTGTGAGCAGAGTTTGTACATAAATATCAGCAATAGGCTGATTTAAATTCTGCATCTTCCAGAGAAACAAGCTTGTTAGGTCTCATGGATTTTTCCACACACCACACACTGAAGAATTTCATAATTTATTTGTGAAATGCTCTAAGTAAGCAGTCAAAAATTTAACAAAACCTATCTCTCTCAAAATATAAAATGCTTATTAGTTAGATGTATTTCCAGAGAAGTTTTAATTTAACATTTGTAGTAATTTGGAAGAGATGTGTGTCAACATTAATCTCTAAGTGTCTGAGGTTATTTTTTTAGAATACCTCAGTTAGTGTCCTTAATTCACTTCGAATCATATTTGAATCTGACTCCTTCAATCTGTCATTAATCAGTTGAATATTTGTTGACTATGTAGATGTGAAAAAGGAAATTCAAGTATACCAGAGCTTTGTGTGGTCAAAGAAACAGGGCATACTCTTATGAAATGCTAATATGAAATAGTATAATGATGAGTGTCACAGGAGTATGTAATTGATTGCTAATTAAATAAAATATTTATTATTTTATTTAACATAGCATCATAGCATCATAGAGATTTAGATAGCTATATGCTATTTAGATATTTATATGCTATTTAGATAATATAACATCATAGAGATTTAGAGCTGAAAAGAATTTTGGATTATTTTATAAAATCTTTTTATTATGAAAAGCTTCAAACATATTAAAAAATAGGATGATACTGAGTCATGCAAGTACAACAATTATCATTTAAAACCTTATCTGTACCACTTTGCCATCTCCTTCCTATCTCCTCCATACTATTTTCAAGCAAATCAGAAACATAAAATTATTTCATCTATGAATTTTAGTAGCATCTCTAAAAGCTGAGTGTTATTTATAATAATGACCACAATAACATAACACGCCTAAAAAATTAATAATTTTTATTTATTTAATTATATTTTAATTGAAGTATAATTGACATATAACATTATGCTAGTTTCAGGGGTACAACATAATCATCCAAATATGTATGTATTGCAAGATGATCACTACAGTAAGTCTAGTTAACATCCATCATCACACATAGAATAACAATTCTTAGTATCACTTTGAGTTTCTTTCATCTTTCCCTTACAGATAAGAGAAGTGAGTTCAGGTCAGTTCAAGAACTGCCCCAACAGTGTCATCTGAAATGGAGCAAAGGCTCCTGCCCAGGTCTTCTAGTTCCTTTTAACAGTCTTTCCACCATGCCATTAGGTTCCCACAGCATGTGTTCAGAAAGAGAAGCAGTCACAGTGTCGTGAAGTGGGAAAAGTTTTACTTTATTTTTTAAGTGTAGAATTGGGGCTTAAAATTCATAGGAGCTTTCTAGGCAAAGAGGAAATGTAGAAGTCTTTCCAGGCGAAGTAAAACTTAAAAAATAAAAAAGGCATGGGGTTAGAAAGTGCAAGTATGTTCAAATGAAGGTAATCTTTAGTGGCAGCTCTCAAATATATTGATATGGTATTGCCCTGACGATGCATTGTTTTCCATATGAGTTCCTTAAAAATACATGCATGTGCTAAAGAGCTTTAGCTGTGTGTATGTGGTAAGATCTCATCAGTTGCTCTGGATTAAAAATTTATTGTAATCATTTAACCAAATGTTTGTGCAATATCTCATGTATTCATAATCCATATAAAGGACAGAGTGGTTTTTATAGATTTTATAACTCATTTGGAAACTTATACTTTTCAAATGCGTAATTACATGTTCATAGTTGAGATTCTTATAACATACAAGGTACTGACCTGTTAGACACAGTGAGACATTAAAAATTACATGAGTTTATCTTGTGTGTGAGAGAAACTGGATGTCAGGTATGGCTGAGTTGCCCTACATCCTGAATTTCCTGGGACCATTCTGGTTATTCTAATATTTTTATGATTGGCAGTTCCATTCACTTTGAAAAGCGTTCATTTTGGATGATAAATCGTATGATCATTGTAGTTATCACTTAGAAGGCTAGATTAAGGTCCCGTGGTAATTTGCCCGTGGTACCCTCACACCACTGTTCACACTTGATGTGAGGGCTTTGTTTAGCATCTGTCTTCCCACACTTTAGGTACCCCATGAGAACAGAAACATCTACTTTGTTCACTGCTGTCACCGTGCCAGCATTTGGCAGAGTCCTTGGCATGTAGGAAACGATCCAGATGTTGTCTGAATAAAGGGCACCATCCTTGCAATGCCGTGTAGTGGCTGAAAGCCTATGGCTCTTTATTTCTTCTTTTCTAATTCATCATTTAAAAAAATACATATTTGAAAGTTACAACTATAATGTTGCAGCTGTTTAAACTTGACTTTAGTTTGCAGAGATTTTCTAGAGAACTCTGACACCGATGTCACTTACAGTTAAAAAATAAAATTTGTTTACAACAATACTTCAATTCGTTTCATAGCAAGGTAATGGTGACCTATACAAGAAGTATTTACTTTTACTTGAAAATTTCAACCCTTGGAAATTTGAAATAACATTGTTTTGTTTCTAACTTCTCTAGTCAACAAAGGACAGTTGACAGAGCAGGGTAGAGAAGAGAGTAGATTTGAATGGGGAATTAAAAATATCCAGACTTCCATAGTGGTCCAGTGATTTAGACTTCACTTTCCATTACTGGAGGTGTGGGTTCGATCCCTGGGTAGGAAACTAAGAGCCCATGTGTCTCACAGCCACAAATCCAAAACATAAAACAGAAACAGTATTGTAATAAATTCAATAAAAACTTTAAAAATGGCCCCCATCAAAAAATCTAAAAAAAAAAAAGATATACTTAATAATGTAAGTATAGGTGATCAGTTAAATGTGGATAGGGGTCTTCAGGGCTAGGCAGTCAGTATGTGGCACCAATACATTAATAAGATGGTTTATTAGTTTTAGGTAGTTTGAGGTCAATTTTCATTCCTTTCATTTTGTTATGTCCAAGAGCTTAAGATTTACTGAGGTGCATAAAGCATGGTTTCTAGAAGGATACTGTTTTTAGTGGGGAAGAACACCAGCCTGGCAATGACAAATCCAGGTAGATTGTATGGAGTGAGGGACGCACTGGAAGGATAATCCAGAGGATAGATTTGTTAGGTGAGGAAGGGGATTATTTTTTTCTCATGGGCAGTTCCTATGTAAGAATTCCCAGAGATGGGGAACTTGGGACAGGGTGATTAGATGGGACAGTAACAAGCGTGTGATCCCTGAGCGGGGGGAAGTCAAGGGAAAGATGTTGGCTGAGCCTCAGAGAACCATTAAGGTAAAATATTTGGACTTAATCATTTAGGAATGTAAAATAAGTAGTATTATCTAGGGCTAGAGAAGAAGTAAATTTTATTTTTGATTTTAAAAATAAATAGCTTAATTTGATTAAGCAAATTATAAAAATCTGTAATGCATGTAACATGTTGATGCAGTAAACAAATCATGTAGGCTATTTCCTTTCCACTCTTCTTTTTAGAAAGTATTTTTTAAATGTTTATTAATTCATAAGCTCATGATAAACTGTTTTTGTTTACATTAACAAGTCAACCATTGTTTTGGGGGTTTTTTGTTTGTTTTTAACTTTTTATTTTGTATTGGAGTATAGCCTATTATAACAATGTTGTGATAGTTTCAGATAGACAGCTAAGGGACTCAGCCATATATATATACGTGTATCCATTCTCCCCCAAACTCTCCTCCCAGTAAACAAATCATGTAGCCTATTTCCTTTCCTCAGTCTTCTTAAAAAAAAAGAACAATATTGATAAACCTGAACCACAGGGCAGAAAATTACAGAAATGTCATCTCTTCTCACTGATAGCCTCTTTGCTTTCAGAAACTCTCGGCATCAATCATGTAACTTCCAATAACTATTCTATCTACATGTGATGGCAACTTGAATGTAAATAAGTTATTGAAAAACAGTTTGCAAAGTTTTGAGTAACCATACAAATAGGCTTTCATAAGCTTAAGAAGAATGGCAGGTTGCAGTGGTTAACGCTCAGCCCTGAGCTTTTTGTTTTATTCATTTTCTTCATTTAGAACATTCAACCAAACAGTGGGGACTTTTGAAGAACTCCAAAAATATCTTGAAGGGTATGTGGCAAACCTGAACCGGGATGATGAAAAAAGACATGCGAAGTAAGTGGAGATATTTTTCTAAGCTGGATGTGACTTCCGGCAGTTGATGAAGAAGGGGACTGAAGGGTGTGATTGGTAACTTTTAGTGTATTGGCACTAGAAAATTTGGGGGAGTTGTTTTAAATTATTCTTCCACAAAAAGGGTACCAGTTACCTCTAGTGTAGATATTATTTTAGTCTATAAGTATTTTCTTAACTTTGGTGATGAGTAGTAATGTTTGGGAGAAATTTCCTGATAGGAGGCCTTGGGAAAGAGTTGTCTACATTGACTGGTGACTTGGTTCAAAAAGATATTAATTCAGAAAGGAAGTCTCTCTTGCCCATGGAAATCAAATGGGAATTCCAAGGAATAGCATAGCCCATTCAGAGCCTGGCTTATTTCAAAATATAAGGGAGTGGGACTTCCCTCGCAGTCCAGTGATTAAGACTTCACCTTCCAATGCAAGGGGTGCAGGTTCAATCCCTGGCCAGGGAGCTAGGATTCCATATGCCTTGTGGTTGGAAAACCAAAACATAAAACAGAAACAATATTCTAACAAATTCAATAAAGACTTTAAAAATGGTCCATATCAAAAAAATATTTTAAAAAAATTTAAGGGAGCTATTGCCCAAATGGTTTTATGTTGGGTTCTAATTGTAGTAATACTGATGAAAATGCTTTTGGGTTCATAGGAATAAAATTCTTTGTAAAATTAAAATTATTTGAAAATCCTTTGCTGAAACATTTTGTAGAATGAATACTTAAGTATGTATTCACCAGACAGTACCATTAAAGTTGAAGAGTCAAAAGTTCTGGAAGACTGATATTTGAGTTAAATTAGAGCATTCAGGCAGACTGCATTTTTTTTTTTCCTTGCAGGGAATGTGTGTGCAGTTTTTGTACCAAAGGTCTTTTGTAGTAAGAATGGTTCATGAATATATAACCCAGAGCAGTAAACTTTAATTAAGAGGGGAAAATGAGTATTTCCAAATAACAATGCATAAGCGTAAAGTAAGAAATGTATTTTTCACGTTTCACAAAGCAGTTATTCTGGTTCAGCCAGAGAAATCTTCAAAATCTAAAAAAAAAATAAAAAGCAAAATATGGCAAAGATTCTCAGTGCAGTATCGTCCTGTAGGTGCAGCAAAGGAAATGGCTCTTTTTTCTGGTTTTCTTTTCTCTCATTGACTCTTTGTTTTTTAAATGGCTTTATTGAGATGTATCTCAAATACCACACAATTCACCTCTTTTACCACTCACTGACTCAGTCTGACATTTGTCTTTTTTATTGTGTGTGAATATATCTGTTTTTTATTTGTATTTTCTGTTGATTTTCTCCCCAGATGTAACTGAGTCTGATCCTATAAAAGTCGAGATAAGCTCTGAGGCAGTAATTACTGGCAGAAATAAGACTGTTGTAGGGGTGGGATCTGTTTGCACTGTGACCCCTGCTTTGCCTAAGGGAGCGTGTGTGAAGTTTCTCTTTTCTCATACAGGAGATCCATGTCCAGCTGGAAGCTGTCCAAAGCACTCTCTTTGGAGATGATTCAGCTGAAGGAGAAAGTGGCCAGATTTTCCTCATCATCCCCCTTCCAGAACCTTGAGATTATCGCAACACTGGGCGTTGGTGGGTTCGGAAGAGTTGAGCTTGTAAGGGGTTTACGTTTCAAGCATCTGAGAGAAGCCTTTTGACTTTTGTTTTGTTTTGTATTCCAGTGTTTCTTGGAGGAATATATGCATTGTTATTGCTATCCAAATGTTACTTTGAACTAAAATTGAGAGTATAGTTTTCACTCTTATTTTATAATAGTGGGTGTGTGCTACTAAATAACTTGTAATAATATAGCTGCCATTTCAGTATACTTTTGCCACATCCTTTTGTGATTTTTTTTTTTTTTGAGGGCAGCTATTAGAGAATGTACCAAGTAACTTTTCCCAGAGGCTATAAAACATGAAATGTGTATTTCTTAGCAGCAACACTTATGTATACATATACTCATGATGCATTAACTCTATGTAAAGTAAACAAAATGTGTCCAGTGAAAGGGTCACAGAGATGAAATCTTTAATACCATAGTTTCATTTCTTAAACAATTCCTCTGCCATGTCTGTATTTGGCTTTCATGATCCTATTTTTGGGTTGCTCAAAATGTTCTATCCAAATTAAAAAAAAAAAAAAGAAATTGAATGCAAGGAAATGTTTGAAGAGCAGTCTTCTGTAGTGCTGATCAAGACAGCTGGGAATTTATAGCCTGATTTCAGCTGCATCTTCCGTATCACACCCCTCTGAGCTTCCAGACAGTAGCAGAGCCATGCAGTCAGATGCTCTGAGGAAACTGTGGAATGGTGACCTGGTGACTTTACTGGGTAGAGATGATGCTGAGCCCTTGGTGACTATTGAGCCCCTCCTTGCCCAGCAGATCTGTAACCATTCACTGTCCATTAACCTTGGGAACTATGATGACACCTCCATCTGCTGGGTGGCCTGGGTGTGAGCAGATCTGAAATGCTGCCAGGAGACTCTGAATAGTACACTTTACACCAAGTCAATACCCCATCTCTTTTGGGCAAAGGGGGGCAGAGATGAATTCTTAATAGGCCAGAGAGTTTGTAGTGTTTCTTATGCCATATGGAGGGATAAGAGAGCCATGTGCTGTATTTTTCATCAAAATCATGGCAAACGATTGAATTAACAATGCTGAGGCTTGTTTTAATATGGTTAGATAATAATAATTGAAACAATAACCTCACCATTGATTTGAAAAGTCTGGGCATCAACTAGTGGCAAACTCTGAGCGAAATTAAGGGAGCAGCCAACTCTGCACAATTTCACTATTTGTCAGAGATAGTCTGCTTATGGAGTTTTAAGCCTATCTGAATAAATACTTATTAAATTTCTAAAATTTCCTCTTAAAGGAAAATCCTATTTGTCCATCTAAAGCATGGTCTCCAATAGAACTTTCTGCTCTGATGGCAGTGTTCTGTATCCACCTGTCCAAAAGCATAGCTGCTGGCTAGATGTGATTAGAGAGCTTTTGAAATGCGGAGAGTGCAAATGAAGGAACTGAATTTTTAATTTTAATCAATTTAAAACTAAATAGCTTTTTGTGACTAGTGGCTAGCATATTGAATCATACAGATATGAATCTTGGATTAAATAGGTTTTATTTTGAAACCAAAGAAGTGACTATTACAAAAGAGCAGTTTTTGGTGATTCTAGACCAAGCTTTTTATGTCATATACTCAAAACCAAAGAGATTTCTATACACTCAGACTTCTAACTAGAATATTTTTCTTGTTTCAATACAAACATTCTAGAACCATGTTCCAACTATGTGAATTCTTTTGGAAATTACAAAGAAAAGGAAGTGTGTACACCTGGATAAAACTCAGCTCCTAGAGGGATAAAGTGGCGAAAAGCTTCCATGCTATTTAACTGTGAAAGAATTTGAACTCCTGCTGGTTCACATGTTTTACATAGATATTGCAGATCTTTCCTAGTAAGTTCATTTTGAGGGCTTGTTATCTTCTCCCCTAGGTTAAGGTGAAAAATGAGAACGTTGCTTTTGCTATGAAGTGTATAAGGAAGAAGCACATCGTTGACACGAAGCAGCAGGAGCATGTTTACTCAGAAAAGAAGATTCTGGAAGAGCTATGCTCACCCTTCATTGTGAAGTAAGTGAGTGTTTTGCTCCCAGAATCTTAGCATCTTAGGCTCTTCTTTGGAGTGCTTCTATGCAAGAGGACGGAGGAGGAAGAGGAGGCCCTTCTCTGAATTCTCCAGCCTAGTCACAGGGATGATACAGAAAATATTGGAAGTTTGAGAACTGAAGTCAGAATCCAGCTTTTTTTATTCTTGAGTAAACCTCAGGGAAGTGTGTGTGGGTGTGTATGTGTGTATGTGAATATAAAATTATTGTTTTAATAAATTGAATTGCTTATTTAATTCAGACCTAATGCAGAATTTGGGAAGGAAGGATTCATTCAGAACCCCTCAGGGGACGTGCTGCTGTTGAATTTCTGCAAAAAGTGGCATTTGGGACACATTCAGGCTGCCAGGGAGCTGGTCCCTGCAGTTGTTGTTAGTTGCTTAGTGGTGTCTGACTCTGCGAGCCGATGGACTGTATAGTCTGCCAGGCTCCTCTGTCCATGGAATTCTCCAGGCAAGAATACTGGAGTGGGTTGCCATTTCCTTCTCCAGGGGATCTTCCCAACCCAGGGATCAAACCTGGGTCTCCTGCATTGAAGGCAGATTCTTTACCTTCTGAGCCACCAGGAGAGCCTGGTCCTTGCAATGCCAGATGCCAAAAGAAATACTTCCCTACAGGTACTGTTCTTTCTGGAGCTATCACCAGAAATTGGAAAAGAAACATATTCTAAGCCATGGCTCTCTTGTGAATTCATGGGTTAGTGATGTAGGTCAGTTAAGGCACATATTTTCACACCTGCTTTCATGCCCTTAGAGTGTAGCTTTAGAGATTTCTGGATGAGGTAAAGTGCCTCTGTAATGAGAATTCATGCTTTTTGATCAAATGCCTTGAGAGAGTCTTTCTGCCTATCCATATTCTCAGACCCATATTTTTTCAAGATTAAAAAAAGTCTCAACCCAGGCAATACTGGCAATAAAGTCATGCAATTATTTTTATATAAACTATGTGTTCCTCCCCTCTTTTAATCAATAATTCATTAAAAACTATCATGAACAGCTTCAGGGCATGGATTAGATTTTATTCATTTTTTCATCTCCTGCCCTTTGCAAAGTAGCTGGCATAGAGTAGGGCAATAATGATATTAAGAATAAATGTTAAAGACAACATTTATTATTGAGAAAGTAACATGTGCCAGGCAGTCTTCTAAGCAAAATTTAAAAATATATATCTTATATAATATATTTAAAGTGTATATTATATTATTATTATATTTATATTGAAGGTAAAAGTGTACATTGCTCAGTCATGTCCAACTCTGTGGTCCCATGGACTGTAGCCTGCCAGGCTCCTCTATCCATGGAGTTCTTCAGGCAAAAATACTGGAGTGGGTAGCCATTCCCTTCTCCAGGGGTTTTTCCCAACCCAGGGATTGAACCTAGGTCTCCTGCATTGCTGGCAAATTCTTTACCAGCTGAGCTACCAAGGAAGGCCATATTTACATTATATTATATAATTTATATGTATCTTATAATTTATTTATATTGTATATATAAAATAATTACATACAATCAATATGTAATCAAATGAATATATATATTTGTTATGATATCCATAATAAAACAGATAAATGTTATGATTTTCCTCATTAACAAGAGCAGTGAAAAAAACTGATGTCACTTAGCTAACGAATGGCTAGTCAGGGACTCAAGCCTAGGCAGCTTGGATCCAGAGCCCATACCGAACCACTGACTAGATTACTTCTGCTATGTGTACGTGGTCCGGCTGTCCTTCTGTCTGCATTAGCCTGGTGCTAGGGAGACATGGGCATCTCTTGAGTAAGACCCAGAAACTGCTTTCCCCCAGCATTGTAATATGGTACCCTGCCCACATCCTATATCCGGATTGAGACTGTGATTCTTTCAGCTTCTGAGAGTCTTTCCGGCTGGTGACTCTGACTAATTCCCTCTCCAGTCATTGCTCTAAGGTGAAGAGACCCACCTGGCCCCTCACTCTTTCTCCAGGTACATCCTGCATCCAGTGATGGTACAGGTCCTTAAAGCTTTTGTAAAATCACAGGCCAACTCTCCCTCTGCCCAAGTCTGCTTCCTTCCTTCCCCATGGGTGTTTGTCCCAAGAGCATTCCCCACTAAACTGACTGCTTACAAATTTCTGTCTTAGAGTCTGTTTCCTAATACCAACTAGAAGACATAAAACATAGGTGTGAGTAACTGTTATGCAAAGTGAAAGTGAAAGTTGCTCAGTTGTGTCCAACTCTTTGCAACCCTATGGACTGCATATTCCATGGAATTCTTCAGGCCAGAATACTGGAGTGGGTAGCCTTTCCCTTCTCCAACTCAGAGATCAAACCCAGGTCTTCCACGTTGCAGGCGGTTTCTTTACCAGCTGAGCCACAAGGGAAGCCCTGCTATGCAAGGCAGATCTTAAAGGAGACCATGCAGAGATCTCAGGGGAGGAAGGGAAGGCTGTAGGGGGGTTAATGAGCTACTTAATCAGGAAGGTGGCCACAGAGCTTGATCTTGAGGGGTGGATAACACTTTTATTACCATGGAACTGAGATTAAGAAAGTCTGTGGGTAGCATGAAGGGGAGTCAGCAGATGAGAAACCAGGGGAGCAGGAAGGATCAGAGTGTTCAGTGAGCATCCAGTGTCTTTGTAAGATGTTTGGAAGGAGATGAGGACCATCCTTCAAAAAGTTATTGATGATGCTTTTAAAGAAACTTGAAGACGTTTTAAAACGGAATTTCTAATAATAATTGGGTTTTTCTTTTATTTTAACAGATTATATCGCACCTTCAAGGACAATAAGTATGTATACATGCTTCTGGAGGCCTGCTTAGGTGGGGAGCTGTGGAGTATATTAAGAGACAGGTAATGAAAAAGAATTATATGCAATAACTTTTGTCTGCCTGGCCTAAAGGATGCTATATTCATGACCATTTAAAGAGACATGAAGAAAGTCATTAAGAAATGAGTCTAAGGGACTTCCTTGGCTCTCCAGTGGTTAAGACTTTGCCTTCCAAGGCAGGGGGCACAGGTTCAATCCCTGGTTGTGAAACTAAGATCCCAGATGCCTCATGGCCAAAAGTGTGAAACAGAAGCAATATTGTAACAGATTCAATAAAGACTTTAAAAAAATGCTCCGTATAAAGGATCTTAAAAAATGTCTTAAAAAAGAGAAATGAATCTAAGCACAAATTGATAAACAAGTAGTAACAGTGATATTTTATGAGCTAACATAGTAATCATGTAATAGGCCCCCGGTACCAGTAGTCACTGTAGAGATTAAAGAAGCCCAGGCTTAGCGTGTCAACCATCCATATCACATGGTTAATATGAGGCAGAGTATACATCCAGATGTTACTGACTCTGAATCTTGAGAAGGGAGATGACGATAGGGGTGGGGAGTGGTGAAGTTGGGGCTGAAAAGCGGAGTGCCATGTCTGCAAAGATTCAGTTTCACAAAAGGAGTGATTTCCACACAACCAAAATCATAGGTGTTCACTGAGCTCCACCTACATACAAGGCTTCCTAGTTGACGGTATGGGAGTTTTCTAAACAATCTACACTTTTCTAACCTAAAACCACATTACATTTTCCTCCAGTGAGTTTGGGTTATATTTTGGGAGATAATGTAATGTACAATTTTAAAACATTTTATTATTTAACCTGAAAAATAAATATGATGAAGTTGGCAATTCATAACTAAATGTCCAATAAGTGTTGTGGGCACTGAGCTCAGAATAGAGGAGAGAGAAAAATATGATGGTTGTGAAAGGCCTTGAGCTAAACCCTAAAGACAAAATTTGGAAAGACAGTGAGAAAGAGAACTGATTTAAGAATCAGGAAAGTTGGAGTAGGATTAGGTCTTTTACTTGCTGAGCGAGAGCAAAGTTTGAATAGAAAACAGGGCAACAGAAGAGGTAGCTTTGCATTAAGTTGTTGAGGTTAACGCCAGGTCAGACATTTAGGCAGCGTTCCCTGGGCCAATGGTTCTCAACCTGGGCTTCACATCACAATCTCATGGGAGCTCTAACAAAGTAAAAATGCTGTGCCCTGATGCCAAAGACTTTTATTTGGTTCACCTGCAGTAGGGCCAGAAAATGATTTTTAGCTGCCTTTCAGGCAATTCTAACGTGTATTCATGATTTAAAATTACATACCTAAGTCATAACAGACTTTTGAGCATCCAAGCAGAGATTTATCTGTTGTACTAGGAACATATTGATGGATGGATCAGAATGAGGTAAGCCTGGATGGGTTGAGGAGACTTGCATGATACCTACAGAAGCATCTGTCTTTAAAAAGTCTTGTTTTCTTATCCTTTCCATTTTGTTTGTTCAGATGTGATTACCAGAAACAATTGTTTGAATGTAGACACTTTAATCTTAGTAAATTTTAGTAAAGTGGTTCTTGTTGGCATCAAGCATTCACTTAAATTTCTTTATGATCTGATTCATTGGCGCAATGAAGTACTTCTTAGTGCTAATGCCTTATAAAACATTTATATTGCATAAATATATATAATATGAAATATGTGAAATATGTGATAATATAAATATGATATCATATTTCATATGATATATGAAATAAATATGATAATTGACACCTAGAATCTGCAACAAGGATGTCTAGAGTATTAAAAAGGAAAATGGTTTCATTGCAGAGGCAGCTTTGATGAACCCACCTCCAAGTTCTGTGTTGCTTGTGTGACAGAAGCATTCGATTACCTGCATCGACTAGGTATTATCTACAGAGACCTGAAGCCAGAAAACTTAATTCTAGATGCTGAGGGCTATCTTAAATTGGTAAGACAAATTCTTATCCTTTGAGATATTTCTCAACATAAAGTTGTGCTGTAGTTGCAATTCTCTCTTTTTTCAAACTTTTATTTTAAATTAAAAAAATGTTTATGTTTAATTGGTGGATAATTGTTTACAATGTTTCGTTGGTTTCTGCCATACAGCAACGTGAATCAGTCCTAAGTACACATACATCCCTCCGTCTGGAGTCACTCTCCCACTCCGCCCCCTGTGCCCCAGCCGTTCCACTGCTCTGAGTTGACACAGGGCATCAGGCTAAGCTACCTGTGTTATACACCAGCTTCCCACTAGCCCTCTGCTTAGCACATTACCATGTGTATGTTTCAAATGCTAGTTTCTCAGTTTGTCCCACCCTTTTCTTCCTCCCTGCTGTGTCCACCAGTTGGTTCCCTATTCCTGCATCGCAGATAGGTGCATCAGTACCATTTTTGCAAAGCAATTATTTTTTAATTTTGATTCACTTGTTATTTTTACTTTGCAAGACATGACCTTTTAAATCAGCATACTTAACACAGGGAGCGATGTTACAAGTACATTCTTTCTAGCTTAGGAATTGAATGTTTCAAACCGCCCCCCCTCCCACTAGGATTCAGATAATAGAATTGTTTTAAAATTGGATTTTGTTAGCATATTAATGTTAGCATAAAATGTTACCATTTTAATGTTTGTTAGCATTCTTAATTCTTTATTGGGATATAGTTGATTTACAATGTTGCATTAGTTTCTGCTGTACAGTCAAGTGAGTCAGTTATACACACACATATATCTACTCTTTTTAGATTTTGTTCTTGTATAAGTCATTACAGGGTATTGAATAAAGTTCCCTGTGCTATTCAGTAGGTTCTTATTAGTTACCTATTCCACATATAGTAGTTGGTATGGGCTTCCCTGGTAGCTCAGACAGTAAAGAATCCGCCTGCAATGTAGGAGACCTGAGTTCCATCCCTGGGTCAGTATTCTTGCCTGGAGAATTCCATGGACAAACATGACTGAGCAGCTAAAGCTTTCACTTTTTTTTTTATCTGTCAATCCCAGTCTCCCATTTTATCCCTTCCCTGCTTCCTGCCCTGGTAATCATGTTTGTTTTCTACATCTTTGACTAAGCTTCTGTTTTGTAAGTAGGTTTATTTGTACTGTTTCTTTAGAGTCAACATACAAGCAACATAATGTGATGTTTGTCTTTCTCTGACTTACTTCACTCAGCATGACAATCACTAGGTTCATCCACATCACTGCCAATGGCTTTATTTTGTTCTTTTATATGGCGAAGTTATATTCCATCGTATGCATCTACCACACCTTCTTTATTCAATCCTCCGTTGATGGCCATTTAGGTTGCTTCCATGTCCTGAATACTGTCAATACCACTGCAGTGAACATTGGGGTACATGTATCTTTTTGAATTATGATTTTCTTCAGATATATGCCCAGGAGTGGGATTGTTTGATCATATAATAGGTCTGTTTTAGTTTTTTAAGGAATCTTCATACTGTTCTCCATAGTGGCTGTACCAATATACTCTCCCACCGATAGTGTAAGAGGGTTCCCTTTTCTCCACACCCTCTCCAGCATTTATTGTTTGTAGATTTTTTTTGACGGTGACCATTCTGACCAGTGTGAGATGATACTTCATTACAGTGTGATTTGCATTTCTCTAATGATGAGTGGTGTTGCGCATCTTTTCATGTGCCTCTTGGCCATCTGTATGTCATTAGCATTTTTATATAATGATTTTAAATAGGTTTTAATATATTTCTGCTACATAGAGGGATTGCCTGTGAGGAATAAGAAAAGAAGATAATATGGCTTCTGTCCCAAGATTGCTACTGTCTGAAGAAGGATAAAAGATACACATATGAATGTTGGTAGTTTAAAAATATATTTTTAAATGATTCTAAGGTCAAGCAGGGTTGAGAATCAGAACACACGGTCTGATTCTATAGGTCCCTTGGGTATAGAGACTTTCCTTGTCATGCATCTTTGTAATGGATACAATGCCTGACATGAAGCCCCTTGCATGTCACAAGACAGGAAAAAGTGCTGCCATTCATGTAAACTGCTTTAGGTACAAAACTATAAGAGAACTGCTTGCTCAGTAGCTTAGTCATGTCTGGCTCTTTGCAACCCCAGGAACTGTAGCCCACCAGGTTCTTCTGTCCATGGGAATTTTTTAGGCAAGAATACTGAAGTGGGTAGCCATTTCCTCTTCCAGATAACAGAACTGGATGATCATAATTGAGGGGAAAACAGGCATTTTGAACCTCAGCAGGGAACCCCATTAGGAGGGGGAACCCAGGCTGATTTTAACTGGGTCCATCTTGTCAGGAGCTCAAGGACATTAAACCATGCCTGAACTTAACATTTACAAAGATTTTAAAGATATTACAAAGATATTAAAAGTTTCTCATATCAGAACATTAGTAATAGCTACCACTTAATGTATAAAGCTACTGTGCTGAACATTTTGCCGTTAATATGTTTAACAATTGATGAGATAGGTTTTATCATCCACATGTTAGAGTGTGCAGTTTAGCCTTAGGAATTAAATTTATTATGTGTAGTTGCTAAGTGATTTCTCTCCATAGGAAAGGAGTAAAGTAAGTTTTTTCCTGTGAAATCTGGCTAATTTCCAAGAAATGTTTTCCGTTCAAGCTTTACTTTATCTATGAAAGATAGCTTTGAGAACTGGTGAGGTACTAACTCAAGGCCTTGATCACTTGTCTTCTTCACAATTCCTTCATTGGCTATGCCTCTTACAACTCTTTAGAGAAGCCTTTTGGAATATTCTAGAAGTAAAATCATCATGAGGGATGCAGATTATCCATTAAATTCACTCTTTTTTAATAGCTGTTTTTAAGAAATCGGGTATCATATTCTGCCTATATAGAATATATAGAGGTCTATAACCATCTCTTCTGTAGCCATTGTAATCCATCCAGCTAACTCATTTGCCAACCAGCCAAATGAAGAGTAATAACTAAAGCTTTTAGAGATTAAAAAGTAAGTGTTGAATATTTCCATTTCTACCTATATATCAAGCTAGATATAATATGCTGAAATTCTCTTACTACAAAAAGTCTCAAGACTGGAAGAAACATGAAAAGCAGTATTATATGCGTGGCTGAGTTTATAAGACAACATTTGGATTCCCCTGAGGTCGAGAACCAAGCTTGGGCAGTAGTGAAGGGTGGAACTCAAACACTGAACCTCCCGTTTTGTGGTCACCCAGCAGTCCTAGGTGGCCTAGAGAGGTTTTATTTTAGTTGCTGTACCCTCCGGGAACAGGAGACCCAAGTTTTGGACCTGGGCAATGTGGGAAGTTGAATCAGAGAACATTGTCCAGAGCCAGCGATCATACAGATTGTGCTCTCAGAGAAACAGAAAGTAGAGGGGAAATCAAATTTCTAAAGGCAGAGTACATGCAAGAAGACATGCTTTTCTCATTATTGGGCTTTTGGTAGAGGAACCAAAGAGTCTCCTCTAAGAATACTTGGCCATAAGCTGGCTTTCATGGAGTTTTGGGTGCCCAGTCTTTCAGGATGTAAATGCCCAAGCAAAAATTTAAATGAAAAGGGAGCCATATTGGTAACATGACCAAGTTTCCAGGAATCAAAGTATATTCTAGAAGAATGTTCTCTCTATTTAAGATACAGAGAATTCCCAGAGATGAACTTCCAGGGAATATAAACTCATGCCAATAAAATAAAATAAAAATATGTGTGAGGCAATAAGGTGCCAGGAGCATTATTTTGCAGGAATGTAAGAGTCTGATAAATTGAAGTAATCAGATACAAAATGTAAAACAAATGTGTCTAAGTCTTTTAAAAGTAAGAGAAGAACTAACAAATGAGTAAGGAACAGAACCTCTCAAAAAAGATCTAACGTGTTTAGAAAAAAAATAGCAAATAAAACTTCTATTAAGAAATTCAGAATATCATAATTGAAATTAAATATTAAATGGAATTTTCATTAATGGTGGAATAGCTTGCATTGGACTAATCTCACTGAGGTTAATTATGATACATGTATAAAAGTGTGTGAAAACATTAGAGACCAACAAAAAATAGACATTCAAACTTTGGAAAAAAGGAACAACACTGGGTAAAATCCACATTAATACAGCTGTTCATTTCAAAGCACTCCTTGTTGTATAAGATATGGAGGATAAACCTTTAGTTAACATTGTATCTAACAGTGAAATATTGAATATTTTCTATTTAGATTGTAAACAAAACAAGATTATTTTCTTTCACCAGTTTTTTCAGCATTGTAACAGATCTTACCAAAATAAATGAAACACAAAAAAGAAGTGAAAGGCCAAAAATTAGGAAGGAAGAAACTACCTGTCTTTATTTGAAGACAACATGATTGTTTATGTAGAAAAGCATGAAGAATCTACCAACAAATTCTGGAAAGGAAAAATAAATTAAGCAGGATTATAGGTACAGAGTCAATATACAAAAAAAATTATTAAATAATTTTTATCTGCTAGCAGTAAATATTCAAGAATGAAATTAAAATGCCATTTGTAATATCAAAAATTATTGAATATATTTAATGTGTAAGACCCCTACATTGAAAAATACAAAATTTTGTTGACAGAAAACTAGCTAATGGTAAAATACACTATGTTCATAAATTATCTAACTCCATAGTTGATAAGATGTTCAGTCTCCTCCAATTGATCTACATATTTAAGGCCATTGCAATAAAAAGTGGAACAGCCATTTTTAGAAATAGAGATATTTATTCTAAAATTTACAAAAAAATGCAATTTAGGAAAGTCAATAACCACTTTGAGAAAAGAAGAATAGAAGAGGAATTTATAATAACTGATGATATTATAAAGCTCACTATAAAGCTGTAGTAATCAAGGCAGTATGAGAGCAGTGTAAGGACAAATGGCTTGATCTAACAGAATAAAGTCCAGAAACAGACATATATAGTTAAATGATTTTTGGAAAAGGATGAAAGGCTAGTTTTCT